TTCTCTCTCATCATTGATGTTTCTCTCTCCCTCTCCAAAATCAATAACAATATATTAACAAAAAAGATGAAGAGAATAAATCTCATTTTGGTACATCAGCATAAAGCTGATTAATATTTTATTGAGATCCTCCTCTAAGAACTCCCCTAAACTCCCAGCCTTTAAAAACCCTCAAAACAAAGGTCCCAGTGCCCTCTCCCTCTCAGGAGCATGCCTGTACCTTTCCCTCTCCCCCTCTCCTTTCCCCAGAGGCAGGCATCTCCTAACCCAGTGATGGCGAACCTGTGATACGCGTATCAGAGGTGACATGCGAACTCATTTTTTTGGTTGATTTTTCTTTGTTAAATGGCATTTAAATATATAAAATAAATATCAAAAATATAAGTCTTTGTTTTACTATGGTTGCAAATATCAAAAAATTTCTATATGTGACACGGCACCAGAGTTAAGTTAGGGTTTTTCAAAATGCTGACACGCCGAGCTCAAAAGGTTCGCCATCACTGTAACCTCTAAGGGAGCCTGTGAGTCTTGCAACCACGGAGCAATGGGCAGCAGCAGCTCTTCCAGGGCTAACCCCCTGACCCTGTCTCCAAGGCCCCTTTGTCTCTGACTTCTTAGTGAGCCAGAGCAACCCGGCCTGGGCTCATTTCCCCACCTAGTCCCTCTCCTGTTGCTTCTTCTCTCCTAAGCCCTTCCTTGTTTCACTGTCCTCAGCTTTAATAAACATCTTCTAAAAATCACCTGGACTCGTATTATGAAATCTTTCCTGCACTAAGTCAGGAACCCACACACTACCAGTGGCCCGAGGTAGACCCACTCAGGGCAGACACTCCCGGGAAGTATATTGTTAATGTAGGTTACAGGTTGGGAAACAAAGTCAGGCGCAGCCCCAGTCCCTGCTTTTAATCATGACTGTTGCCTTTCTTGGCCCTTCCTTAGTATCCAGTCTTTGTCACTCCAACCTTAGGCTTATGACTACTCCTCTCAGCCTCAGTTTCCTGCCTGTAAAATGGGGATGATAACTCCTGTGGTTGTCCTGATGATCAAATGTCAGTGCTCAAGAAATGGCAGCTGCTATTGTTATTTCTACCATTATGAGTATCCGGACATAGTAGTGGACCCCAGGATGCTGAGAAACCACAGAATGCAGGTTCACTGGCCCCCACAGAACTGGGTTCCTGAAGAGTGCCGAAGGAGGTACACATGAGGCCACAAGTTATAAAAAATTATGTCATCTGGAAACCAGATGGGCTGAGCCCCCAGATGGCGTCAGCACCCAGGAACTGGGGAGTCAGAGGTTTTAAGGGCCCCCAAGGGGCGTTTTTGGCGGGGAATTCTCAGGGCAGGTCCGGGTCCTGAGCAAGTCCCGAGGGGAAAGTTACTGGTCTTAGCAAATGGAATGTGGTTCAGAGAAAGGGAATATCGGTTGTGAAATGATCTAAAGGTCAGTTTCCGAGGGGAGGGGAGTATTGATTTGATCATTTGATCAGACCTATCACAGAGGTAGGTTTCACATCTAAGGAAGAGGTTCCCAGATCAGGACCCTGGTGAGAGCATGATGGGTCTCCAAGTTGTTAACTGGTTTATTTCAATATCAAGCATATCTCTCTCCTGCACTGTCCAATTGGAGAGCCAGCAGTTGCCAAAGGCAGCTATTGAACACTTGGCAATTATGCCGAGTCTGAATTGTGCTCTATGTGAAATATTAATTGCATATTAAAATTATAACTTTTTGGATATATTGGGTAGGGTTGTGGTAGGCAGTTAGATAGACATGAGCAAGGACGATGGGCCAGGTGCAGAAGGTCCTCAGGGCAGAAAGCTTCGGGTGCCTAACGGGCAAAACTGGTTACCCCTAGAATAACCTTTCTTCCCTTTATAACTTGTGGCCCTTAGCATTTTTGGTTTAGACCCCTGACCTCTCCTCTCCTGCATGTCACTAGTCATGCAGTAAACCCCCTTGGAGGAGGAACAAGGGGTGGAAGAGTGGCCTCAAGTGACTCCCATGCAGGCCCTTGCATGACCACTCCCTTACACAGTGACCCTGGGATAACATCAAGGCCTCAGCTCCTGTGTTTCAGCTGTAGGCTCAGAAAAGCAGCAAAACCAGACAAGCGAAGCCATGGCTGACATTAGGACCAGCTACATTGACTAATGACTGCCGACCAATCAGTAGAAACCTACTAAAAGGACACACCTGGAAAGCTGATGAATATTCTATTGGGATCCTCCCCTGAGTCCTGGAAATACCCTCAAAAAGAGGGTATCTTTTTGATACCCAGCTCAGCTCTCTCTCCCAGGAGCACAAGCTTGCCTTTCCCCACCTCTCTTCTTCCTCCCACCCACTTCCACCCCGCAGGAGAGTTACCTTTACCTTTCTCCTTAGCTCCAAAGGCCCTTCTTTTGCCTCTTGTTTCCTGACCTCATTTCTCCTACTGCTCACTTCTCCTACCTCTGTGACTTTCTAAATAAACATTCTCTTACAGTTTGAGTCTTGGTTCTGAATTCTTTCTCGGCCAGAACTCAAGTCCCAAGGTTGCCGAACCCAGGTCCAGTCTAACACCTGGTGCAGTTTTCACTGCCAGCAGGGTGACCAACTTATTTTGCCAGAGTCACTCTTGCTTTTAGCACTGAAATGAAAGGCTTACATCCCAGGAAACTCCTTAATCCTGGGCCAACTTGGACAGTTGGTCGTCTTACTGTTGGTTAAAATATATTATATTTGATCTAACCCCCCCTTTTTTTTTTTACTTTTTATTAGAAAGTTTAAAATGACAACGTGGCTCTCGTTATATTTATATTGGATAATGCTGGCTCTATTAGGTCTTAAACCCCAGACTATACTCTGCAAGGGCATGGAGGTGACATTTTCCTCCGTCAGTCACTGACTACAGAAAATAGCAACTAAACTTCAGCAAAAAACAAGCACTGTGACTGAACAAGCTGTGAGAGTGCGGGGACTAAAGGATGGACATGATTTTCCCAAGCTGGAGGGGAGAGAGGAGAGCATTCTTGGCAGAGGACACTGCCTGAGCAAAGGCATGGAGGTGGGATCCAGGGAGCTAGTATATAAGCACACCTGCTTGATTAGAAGAACGCTTTCCAACGCTACTCAGATGGGCTGATTTGGCAACTGGTGGGGCTTTGAGAGGTAGGCTCACAGGGCTTCCCCCTTCCGCCCAATGCCGATCTTCAGGTTCAGCCAGTCTCTTCCTTGGGCTGCGCCTGTGCGTCTGTGACTGTCTTGTCAGGTCCATGCTGACATGTAGCGGTTACTGCTCTGCTTATGTTTTCTTGGTCAGTTTATTCTCACCACGATCTCTCGGGGCTGTGGCAGACGGGTGTCAATATCTGGGAAAAGATGTGGAAGGAGCCAGGGCTTCTTACAGAGGACTGGAGTCTGGGGAAACAACCACAGACCTGCTGGCTTCCACTGGGAAACTGCTGGGCTAGAAGCCCTAGCCTCTATCCTGCCCAGCTCCTCTTCCCCCAGGAAGCCTGCCTGCCCTGACTTCCCTCCCCAAACCCTGGGTTAGGTACCCCTTCTTGAGTAGAGGGGCTCCCTGTGCTTCTCTTACAGACATGAATTCAAGTCCTGTTTGTACTGTGTGCCCTGAACTAGTCACTTTACCTCAGTTGACTCTAGTCAAATGGGGCCAATAGCAAAGAAACAGCTTAGCACAGCTCTTGCTTGGTGCAGGGGCAGAGCAGGGACTGAAGTCATGCTAGCTACCACTCTTGACAGCAAAGCTCTGGCCTGGGTCTCCGCTGTATCCCAGCACCTGGCACAGAACCTGAGGACAGAGCAGGTGCTCAATACATGGTGTTGGTAGGCAGAATAATGGTCCCCAAGCATGTTCACGTCCTATTTTCCAGAACCTATAAATATCACCTTACATGGCAAAGGGGAATTAAGGTTGCAGATGGGATTAAGACTGCTCATCACTGATATTAAAATATTGTGGGTTAACCAAATGGGCCCAATGTAATCACAAGGGTCCTTAAGAGAGTTAGAGATAGAGGTGCTATGGAGAACCAGGGAGGTGACAACGTGAGAAGGACTCTGCCTGGCGTTGCTGGTTTTGAAGAATGGAGGAAGAGGTCACAGCTAAGGAATGCAGGAAGCTTTTAGAAATTGGGAAAGACAAGGAAATGGACTCTTCCCTAGGGCCTCCAGAAAAGAATGCATTCCGCCAATACCTTGATTTTTAGCTCAGTGA